AAGCCCCGCGTCAGGCTCTGGGCTGATGGCTCAGAGCCTGGAGCCTGTTTCCGATTCTGTGTCTCCCTCTCTCTCTGCCCCTCCCCATTCATGCTCTGCCTCTCTCTGTCCCAAAAATAAATAAAAACGTTGAAAAAATTTAAAAAAAAATCAAAACCACAATGAGATATCACCTTACACCTGTCAGAATGGCTAACATTAACAACTCAGGCAACAACAGATGTTGGTGAGGATGCGGAGAAAAAAGGATCTCTTTTGCATTGTTGGTGGGAATGCAAGGTGGTGCAGCCACTCTAAAAATCAGTATTGAAGTTCCTCAAAAAACTAAAAATAGAACAACCCTATGACCCAGCAATTTCACTACTAGGCATTTATCCAAGGGATACAGGTGTGCTGTTTTGAAGGGACACATGAACCCCCATGTTTATAGCAGTACTATCAACAATAGCCCAATATGGAAAGAGCCCAATGTCCATCGATGGATAAATGGATAAAGAAGATGTGGTATATATGTACAATGGAGTATATATGTACAATGGAGCAATCAAAAAGAATGAAATCTTGCCATTTGCAACTACGTGGATGGAACTGGAGGGTATTACGCTAAGTGAAATTAGTCAGAGAAAGACAAAAATCATATGACTTCATTCATATGAGGACTTTAAGAGACAAAACAGATGAACATAAGGGAAGAAAAACAAAAATAATATAAAAACAGGGAGGGAGACAAAAGAGAAGAGACTCATAAATATGGAGAACAAACTGAGGGTTGCTGGAGGAGTTGTGGGAGGGGGAATAGGCTAAATGGGTAAGGGGCAGTAATGAATCTACCCCTGAAATCATTGTTGCACTATATGCAAACTAATTTGGATGTAAATTTTAAAAAATAAAAAATAAAACAAGTTAATAAAAATAAAAAATAAATTTCCAAATGTTCATTGGTAGTATAGAAATGCAAATGATTTTTATATATTCATCTTGTAACCTAAGAACTTACTGAAATAGCTTATTTTTTAATATGAAATTTATTGTCAAATTGGTTTCCATACAACACCCAGTGCTCATCCCAAAAAGTGCCCTCCTCACTACCCATCACCCACCCTCCCCTCCCTCCCACCCTCCATCAACCCTCAGTTTGTTCTCAGTTTTTAAGAGTCTCTTATGTTTTGGCTCTCTCCCTCTCTAACCTCTTTTTTTTTCCTTCCCCTCCCCCATGGACTTCTGGTAAGATTCTCAGGATCCACATAAGAATGAAAACATATGGTATTTGTCTTTCTCTGTATGACTTAATGAAATAGCTTATTAATTATAGGAGCTTTTTTTGTAGATTCTTTAGGATTTTCCATGCAACATGTAATCCGCAAATAAGACAGTTTTATTTTTTTCCTTTCCACTCTGTATGCTTTTTTCCCCCTTTTTCTTGTCTTGTTGCACTGGTTACATCTGTCAGTACAAGGCTGAATAGGAGTGGTAAAAGTGAATATTCTTTTCTTTTCTTTTCTTTATTCATTTACTTACTTATGAAGGTGAATATTCTTATTTCCAATTTTAGGGGGGAAAAGTTCTCTTTTATTTTTTAGTGTGATGCTCGCTGTACTTTTTTTTACAAAACTCAAAAAATGTTAGTTCCTAGTTTGCTGAGAACTAAACATCATGAGTGAATGTTATATTTTGTCAAATTCTTTTTCTGTATCTATTAAGATTTTTTTTTTCTTCTTTAGTCTGCTGTTATGGTAAATTTCATTGATTGCTCTTTTTCTCAGAATAGCTTTTTTTAATTGAGATAAAATTTACATAACATAAAATTCACCATTTAAAATTTAGTTGTTTTTAGTTCATAAACTATGTTGTGTAACCATCAGCACTAATTCCAGAACATTTCCATCACTCCAGAAAGAAACCCTTTCTGTTAGCATCAACTCCAATTCCCTCTTTCCTCTTTTCCCTGGCAACGATTAATCTACTTTCTAGCTCTATGAATTTGTCTAAGTCAGACACTTCAGATGGATGAAATCATACAATATGTAGCCTTTTGTGACAGGTTATTTTCACTTACCATAAAATTTTCAAGGTTTACCCATGTAGCATGTGTCAACACTTCATTCTTGTTATAACTAAATAGTATTTCATTGTATAGATGTACCACATTTTGTTTACCTCTTCAAAAGTTGATGAACATTTAGATTTTTTTCACCTTTTGACTATTATGAATAATGTTGCTATGAACAGTCGTGTTTTTATTTGAACATTTATTTTTGTTTGGGGGGAAGCTATATATCTAATCTAGGAGGGGAATTTCTGGGTCATGTAGTAAACCTATATTTAACTTTTTGAGGAACTGCCAAACTGTATTCCAAAAAGATTCTATTATTTTACATTCCCACCAGCAGTACATGAGGGCTCCCATTTCCCCACATCCTCACCAATATTTGTTATTTTTTATTTTTTTAAATAGTCATTCTAGTGATATCTCTATTGTGGTTTTGATTTGTCTTTCACTAAAAACTAATAATGTTGAACATCTTTTCATGTGCCTATTGGCCATTTGTATATATCCTCTTTAGAGAAATGTTTGTTCAAATCTTATACCCACTTTTAAATTGCATGTTTTGTCTCTTTATTGTTGAGCTGTAAGAGTTCTTTATATATTCTAAATACCAGATCTTTATCAGATATATGGTTTATAGTTTCTTCCATCCTTTTCATTTTCTTGATAGTGTCCTTTGATGCTCAAAAGTTTTCAATCTGATGAAGCTAAATTTATCTATTTTTTCTTTGTTTTATTGTTCTTGTGGTGTTATATCTAAGAAACCACTGCCAAATCTAAAATTACAAAAATTTACCTATGAGTCCTTCTAAGAAGTTTATAGCTTTAGTTCTTACATTTAGGTCTTTGATCTATTTTGAATTAATTTTTGTATATTTTGAGGTAGGAGATATCCAGTTATCCCAACACCATTTGTTGAAAAGATTATTTTTCCCTATTGAATGAACTTGGTACCTTTGTCAAAAATCAATTGATTATAGATGTATAGGTTTATTTCTGGACGCCTCGTCCTATTCCATTGACCTGTAGGTCTATCTTTACACTGATACCACACTGTCTTGATTATTGTAGATTGGTAGTAGGTTTTGACATTGGAAATTCTTCTTTTTCAAATATTTTGACTATTCTGTGTCTCTAGCATTTCCATGTGAACTTTATAATCAGCTTGTCCATTTCTGGAACATTATTGAACAAGCCCTGCATTCACGGGATTAACTACACTTGATTGTGATGCATTATCATTTTTATAGATTTAAATTTTTACTAAATATTGGTCTGCAGTCAACAAAGTGTTTTAAACTGAAGATTGATATCAACAGTTTCTCATTTAGAAAGTTCACTCTCCCTCTATGGATTAAAGAGAGGAAACATAAGACTTTGGGAGACCCACAGGAACCTAAAGCTAGGTCCACGGAAATGATGGCATGTACCAGGCTGATTTCATTAGAAATGGAGGGAGTGATAGATTTGACATTAATCTAGTTCTTCCCAGTGTTTTCACCCACACTCCCCAAACCCCAATACACACACTCTGAACTGTGTCTCATGCTCTCTCCTTCCTTTGGCCCTCTTCTTTCCACATTCTTCATTTCTCTAGTTCTTCCACATCAATTGTCACTTTCTCTAGGAAACTTTCCTTAACATCCTTGTGTGGATATCCCTCCCATTTACTCTCATAACACTCAGACTGTCCCAGTTTAGTATTCATCATCCTTGATTCTAATTTGCATGTGTAATACCTGTGTATGGTAAAAGAGTTGACCATCCAGCCTTCTCCATGTAATTCTGGACCACACACACTTAAAACAGAGAAGTAGCATCACATTCACACTTGACTTCCTAGAATTCCCCAATGTATTCTCCCCCACCCTACCCCTTATATGTGTCAGGCACTGATGCCTATGTTTTATGTGTTGATAAAAACTATGAAAAGACCATATGAAGAATTTGACGATGGCAAAGAATTATGACAAGCTGTTCAGGTATCAGAGCAATCAGGTATCCACATATGATGCATTAATTGCAGACCAAAGTGAGCCAGTGATAAAAATGAAAGGAATACACACAGAACTACAGACACATGAGTGCAACCCTATTTCAGGAATTTTCAAGGATAATTTGAACTAGAAACTTTTGTGTCTCACACCACATATGATGCCACACATAAGATGCAACCACACTGCTTTTTCAGGGTGATATTCAAAATATTGAACTGCTAGGAGCACCGGGGTGACTCAGTGGGTTAAGGGTCCTACTTCGGCTCAGGTCACGATCTCATGGCTCATGAGTTTAAGCCCCACATCAGGCTCTGTGCTGACAGTGCAGAGCCTGGAGCCTGCTTCAGATTCTGTGTCTCCCTCTCTCTCTCTCTGCCCCTCCCCCGCTCACACTCTGTCTCTCTCTCCTTTTCAAAAATAAATAAACATTTTAAAAAATCAAAATATTGAACTGTTAGGATTGCTCAGGCACTGACTATGGGCTTAGATGAAGTAGGTCCAAAAGCTCCCCTGAGATGCCCTGTCTCACCTCATAGTTGTTGAATCATGGGGAATTTCAAAGAATAATGAGGAAGAGACCAGAGTGCAAGGGAGGGGGAAGAAAGCATTAATCTAAGGAAAGCGTCTATTGATTGACAGATATGGAATTATTTCCATATTCTAATAACTAATATGGCTATACTGGTTGTGTACTGGTTAAATACCAGCTCTTTGCACAGGGAGACTCACAGAAAGCTCTGCACAAGTCAAGTGTCATTATTGATTGTAGTTAGAAAAGTGAAAAAACAACATTCTCAGATACAAAGCTTATTCTTGTGACTGTCCAGCTCAAAGACCTCTGAAAGCTCCTTTACAAAACTCTGATACACATAGCACCTGGTGATGCCCATACTGGAATGTCAAGCCCCCAGGGTGCCTCTGTTTGCACATTTATGCTCCACATACTCTGCACTTACCTGGCTACCCTTGATAACAGTGTTGGTCTCCCAGGTACCAGCATTCTCTCTAAACATCACCACCAGGCCAGTGTGCTGATATCGAGGTGCCCCAAGAACCAGATTTTGCACCCTGCTCCTCCATATGACTTCGGCAGCATAACCTGAAGATGGTGATCTGAGAGGATAAGTGCTTTCCTTCACAGACTCAGCCCCCTCTAGGAGACCTATCCTTAGAGTAGGGGCACTGCAGCAGCCCCATGCTTAGTAGGTTGGGATAACTGGACCCTGCACTATATCCCCCTTTTTTAACATAACTAAAATGAAATTTTGAAATTTCTGTCTTTAAATTTATTCCAAGGGCCTTTGAAAGATCCAGTGATGTCTATGCTAGTTGAGGTATGCCCTATCAAGACCCCTTCTTAGAGTTACCCTGCCATCTCCACTTACCCAAGTAAGCATCATTCATGTCTGAATCTACCCTGGTTGTGTTGATGAAGGTGAATTTGTCCTTTGACACATACAGAAAAGCTCCACCAGCCCAGTCAAAGCTTCCCACAGCACCTAGCAAGAGATCATTCTGGGAAAGAAGGTAGAACAAGATTGAGCAACATACAGCTTCAGTGCAATCCTTATCAAAATTTCAATGGCATTTTTCATGGAAATAGAACAAACAATCCTAAATTTGTATGGAACTACAAAAGATCCCAAATAGCCAAAGCAATTCTGAGAAAGAAGAACAAAGCTGGAGGCATCATGTTTTCTGATTTCAAACTATATTGCAAAATTATAGTAATCAAAACAGTATCGTATTGGCATAAATACAAACATATAGATAAATATAGCAGAATACATAGACAGCCCAGAAATAAACCCATACATATACGGTCAATTAATTTACAACAAAAGATTCAAGAATATGCAATGGGGAAAAGACAGTCTCTCAATAAATGGGATTGGGAAAAGTGAAAAGTCTCATGCAAAAGAATGAAACTGAACCACTATCTCACATCACTTACAAAAATCAATTCAAAATGGACCATAAGACCGTAAACCATAACACTCCAAGAATAAAACTGGTGGTAAGCAACTTTACATTGATCGTGGCAAGGATTTTTTGGGGTTTGACACCAAAAGCAAAGGCAACAAAAACAAAAATAAACAAATAGGACTACATCAAGCTAAAAATCTTCTGCACAACAAAAGAAACCATCAACAAAGTGAAAAGGTAACCTACAGAATTGGAGAAAATATTTGTGCATCATATCTCTGGTAAGGGGTTGATATATACAAAATATATAAAGAACTCCTACAACTCAATAGCAAAAATTTCTGATTAAAAATGGGCAGAGGATCTGAATAGACATTTTTCCAAAGAAGATATACAGATGGCCAGTGCTCAACATCACTAATCATCAGGGAAATGCAAATCAAAACCACAATGAGATGTCACCTCACACCTGTTAGAATGACTGTCATGAAAAAGAAAAGAAAGAAATGAAGGAAATGAAAACACTAACTCAAAAAGATATCTGCACCCCATGTTCACTGAAGCATTATTTACAATAACTAAGACATGGAAATAATCTAAGTGTCCACTGAAGCAAAGATAAAGAAAATGTTATATATAATACAATGGAATATTAACCAGCCATAAAAAAGAAGGAAATACTGCCATTTGTAACATGTATGGACCTTGAGGGCATTATGCTAAGCAAAACAAGTCAGAGAAAGACAAATATGGTATGATCTCACATATATATGGAATCTAAAACAAAACAAAAACTGAACTCATAGATGCAGAGAACAGATTGGTGGTAGCCAAAGGCAATTTGTTGGGAAGGTAGGCAAAATGGGTGATGGTGGTCAAAAGGTACAAATTTCTAGTTATAAAATAAAGTCTGGGGTATAATGTACACCCTGGTAAGTATAGTTAATAACACTGTATTGGTATTTTAAATTTGCTAAGAATATAAATCTTAAAGTTTTCATCACAAGAAAAATAAATTTTTTACCTAAATGTGTGATGGATATTAATCAGACTTATTGTGTTGATCATTTCACAATACATGCATACATCAAATCATTATGTTGTATACCTAAAGATAATACCATATGTCCACTATATCTCATTTAAAAAAAAAAAAAGGTCTGATAAGGAAAAGAAAAGGGACCACTGCTCCCCATAAAAGACATGCCTCCCAACAAGTACCAATTGCAGATAAAAGCCACCATACCCTTGCACCTCTTCTCCCCCTTCTTCTTGCCCCATCACAATTTAATAAAGGACCACTTACAGAGGTGATGGCAGCACTGAAGCCTTCCTGAGACATCTCATGTTCAAAGGAGCTGGTACTTCCTGTCTGAGTACCTGTGAGGAGGAGCACTTTCTACATTAAATAAAGCAGAAGAGCTGGGAACTCAAATGTTATGTTGACCAAACAAAAAGAGAGTCATATGGGAGCTATGTTGCACTAGAAAGCATGTACTCCTTTTAAAGAGAAGGTGGCAATTTGGTCCCACCTTCTTTTTGCCAAGTAGGAATGCAGTCTAACCTTCCAACTTTTCAAGAGAAACCATAAATCCAGATTGTGTATGAACCTTTCCCTAATTTTTGAATTAATTTATTCAATAAACATTTATTGAGAACTCTCTATGTACCAGGCACTATTCTAGACACTGGAAATACAGCAGTGACTCAAACAGACAAATGTTGGTAGCATATCTAAATTTTTTGAAAAATACTATCTGAGATTTGGCTCCCTTATCCTCCAATTTTTCAGCCTATAGCCAAGGCTTACAAAGTAAATATAAAGTCTACATTCTTTGATTTCAAAGGAAATGACCAAGTGAGGCCAGAGTTGCTGGGAACTAGAGGAAATGGAGAAAGAGTTAATGCTGATAGGATATCAAGGGTTAAGAGGTTCTAGCTACTAAAGAGGAAATGCATGTTTGGAGATAAGGAGCTGCCTCTGGAGCTGCTACAGGAATATAGAACCTTAGCTTACCCTCAATTGCAAAGATCTTTTCCTGAAGCTGGTTTTGAATGGTCTTCAGAGCTTCAAAGTTATTCACCCGGAACACATAATCACGAGGAGGCTTTGATGCAATGGTATTAAGCTCTTCACGAGTTTTTGGACTGTTGAAAGCAGCTCCCACCTGTTATCAAGGAATAGAGGCCAAGTCAGACATCATCTGGGGGTATCAGTCTCATCCAGCAAAGAAAATTCTGTGGGAAAAGAATCTGAAACAATATCTGTCAGATGAAGAAATGCACCAGAATAGGGACAGGGCTACCAAGTATAGTAGGGCAGGTTATGCACTGCACATAACATTCTGTCAAGGGAGAAATTAGCTTTTGGTCCTTTTGCTGTGCTATGCCTCCTGGTATGGAGCTGACCTCTCCCCAGAGTAAAGGGAGTCTTTTTCTCTATATGAAGGGGTTTCCTACTTGCCAACCCATGCACCCGTGATGATACCTTTTTCTATGTCATACAAGGTACTGTGGTAGTTTGATTACACTGATGATCCCCAACTCTATACCTCTTCCTATATCCAAGCCCTTTCCCCCAAAACTTTGCTGTATCCTCCTATTTATGGCAGAGCAATCTGCCCTGCTTGTTGTCTCTGGGTCCGGCTATGTGTCTTGCTTCAGCCAATGGATATTATCATACATGATTCAGACAGATGCTTTTAAAAAAAGTGCTTGAAACATTTCCACTTGCTCTTTTTTATTGTTTTTTTAATGTTTATTTATTTTCGAGAGGCAGAGAGAGACAGAGCATGAGCAGGGGAGGGGTGGAGAGAGAGAGGGAGACACAGAATCTGAAGCATGCTCCAGGCTCTGAGCTGTCAGCACAGAGCCCGACAGGGGCCTTGAAGCCACAAGCCATGAGATCATGACCTGAGCTGAAGTCAGACTCTCAACCGACTGAGCCACCCAGGTGCCCCCACTTGCTCTTTTGTTCCCCTGCCTTCACCATGAGGACATGCCCAGGCTAGCCCACTGTAAGATGATACTGGGAGCAGCAGAGCCAAGTTACCCCAGTTGTTCCAGTCATTCCAGTCCAGCAGACAGACATAGATGGCAACCCTCAAAAATGGAGGGAGCCCAGCCAAGATCAGCAAAGCTGCCAAGCAACCTTCAAATGATTACAGATTTAAGAGTGAGCCTAGTCAAAGCCAGAAAAATTGTCCAGCTCAACTACAGACTTACTTATTGTTTTAAAAGACTGAATTCTGGGGGCGCCTAGGTGGCTCAGTCGGTTAAGCGTCCGACTTCGGCTCAGGTCATGATCTCACGTTCCGTGAGTTCGAGCCCCGTGTCAGGCTCTGGGCTGATGGCTCAGAGCCTGGAGCCTGCTTCTGATTCTGTGTCTCCCTCTCTCTCCGACCCTTCCCCGTTCATGCTGTCTCTCCCTGTCTCAAAAATAAATAAACGTTAAAAAAATTTTTTTTAAATAAATAAATTTTTTTAAAACGTTTATTTATTTTTGAGACAGAGAGACAGAGCATGAACGAGGGAGGGGCAGAGAGAGAGGGAGACACAGAATCAGAAGCAGGCTCCAGGCTCTGAGCCATCAGCCCAGAGCCCGACACGGGGCTCGAACTCACGGAACGTGAGATCATGACCTGAGCCGAAGTCGGACGCTTAACCGACTGAGCCACCCAGGCGCCCCTAAAAATTTTTTTTAAAAGTAAAGGACTGAATTCTGGTGCGCATGGGTGGCTCAGTCAGTTGAGCATCCGACTTTGGCTCAAGTCATGATCTCACAGCCCATGAGTTTGAGCCCTGCATCAGGCTCTGTGCTGACAGCTCAGAGCCTAAAGCCTGCTTTAGACTCTATGTCTCTCTCTCTCTCTCTCTCTCTCCCTCTCAAAAATAAAAATAAATTGTTAAAAAAATTAAAGGACTGAAATCTGAGATAATTTGTTGTACTGCATCATTGTAACAATAATTAACTGACACAGGCTCATGTGGGCTAGCAGTGACCTTGCCCTACCTTGGTTTAACCGATATTTACAAATTGAAGGGAGGGTGTATCCAAGGAGAAGCATCAGGCCACAGAAGCTCAGGCCAGAGAGCCACATTTCTTACCCCAATGACATAGCGAATGATCCCCTCTTTGTCTGCTTCAGGAATGACATCCTTGTACTCCAAGGGATCGCCAAACTTTTCTCCATCCGTGATGACTACTAGGATCTTAAAGGCTTTCTCCCGGGCTCCACTACTGCTCTGAAACAATTCTCTTCTGTCCAGGGAAGAGGAAAGAAAAGTCAAATGTGAATAGAGATACTCTTAATGCTAAGGAGGAAGCATCAGCAGTCACTGGCTCAGATGTAGCTAGGAGGGGTTTGGGCTCCCTTGGAATGAACACTGAGATGTGGCTGCCCCATGACCTGGAAAGGCAACAGGAGAAGGTAGAAGAGTGGAAGGAAAAGAAATCTTCACTGCATTTATATACTTTTGCATATATTGATTTTTTAAACTATTTTAAATTAAAACAAAAATTTTAAGCTTAATTGGGCCCTCACAAACCTTTCCTGGTTTGATGCAACGGGTCTCTAGCTCACCTTCCTATACTTTTGTCCCAATCCCCACCCTCACCTCTATACACGTACACACACACACACACACACACACACCAGAGTGAACTTTCCAAAACAAGATGTGGTGACATCTCCCCTCTGCTTAAAACCTTCAGTGGATCCCCACTGGCTTTTCAGTTGCCTTAAGGGACCTGACCTCAACTAATCTCTGTGGCCACCCTCTAGCTTTACCCTCACATCTCCCCTTCACTCCTACCTTTACTCACAACTTGTATTTCATGAACATACAATGCAGAGTCCCTCCTCCACACCTTTACTCATGCTGTTCCCTCCACCATAAATATCCTTTATCCCATCCCTGTCTGAACAACTGCCTTCATTCTTCAAATCCCAACTAAAAAATATCACCTCCTCCTTCCATCCTAAGCAAAGAACTTACACTACTTTGCGGATTCCTGTGGCAGTGTGTGTCCGCCCACGCAACTGTTTTATTGGCTTCACCAGCAATGATGGGTTAGGGTTTTTCTTGAATTCATTAAAGGTGAAATGAGTCTGGAAGTCTTCAGAGTACTGCATTAAAGAAAACTGGGAACAGGCATCTGGTATTACACTGGAGAAAGTGTCCCTCCTCACACTTACCCACCTCCTAGGAAATGTTACATAAATCTTGAAACACTCAAGTCTCCAAATCCCTCCAAATTCTACACTGCCCCCAATTCTTCTGCCACACCAGGACAGAGATCTGCCATCAGCTCCCACCTCTAAATACTAGAACTCAGCCAGAGATGACAGGTAGGTTTCATCTCCCATGCCAACCCTTATCAATTAGTCAGAGCGGCCTGCTTTACAGAGGGCTGGAAGAATGCTGAGGCTGCATCCAGAAAGAGCAGGAAAAAGGATCATGAAAGAAAACATGATCAATTGGCAATTTTGCAATAGAAGTAAAAGAGAAAAGTGGCAGACTGGTTGCCATGGATTTGCCAGCTTTATATGAACTATTTCCTAACCAACCCATTTGCCCTCACCAAGGTTTTGGATTTCTTGAATTGACCCATCACAGTTGAGACAAAATCCTTCATCTTCTGAAAGTCGCTCTGGATGATGCTACCAGAACCATCAATCAAGAAGGCAATATCGCTGTCTTGCCGAGGGCACTCTTGGGAAACAGGAGAAAGAGCATGAACTGATTAAGTATTAGAGACTGGGATTAATTCTTTTCCATGTCAACCCTCTACTAAGCAGTGAAAATAAAAAGTAAACAATATGCAACCCATGCTCCAAGCTTAATAAAAACATGGACACAGTCTCAAGATGGCAGTCACCATGAGGAAGGCATCTGTAGAATATGTCAATGTTACTTTTGAATAACAACAAAAAATAAACAATTTTTCAAGGAATGCAAGTAGAATCACAGAGCTGAAGGAAGAAATACAGTGAAAAAGAAACAACAAAATTTAGAAGATGCTTGCACTGTTGGTGGGAATGCAAACTGGTGCAGCCACTCTGGAAAACAATGTGGAGGTTCCTCAAAAAATTAAAAATAGAACTACCCTATGACCCAGCAATAGCACTGCTAGGAATTTACCCAAGGGATACAGGAGTGCTGATGCATAGGGGCACATGTACCCCAATGTTGATAGCAGCACTTTCAACAATAGCCAAATTATGGAAAGAGACTAAATGTCCATCAACCAATGAATGGGTAAAGAAATTGTGGTTTCTGACAATAAATTTCATATATAAATAAAAAAATAAAAAATAAAAAAAAAGCATAAGAGACTGTCGAGAACTGAGAACAAACTAAGGGTTGGTGGGGGGTGGGAGGGAGGAGAGGGTGGGTGATGGGTATTGAGGAGGGCACCTTTTGGGATGAGCACTGGGTGTTGTATGGAAACCAATTTGACAATAAATTTCATATATAAATAAAAAAATAAAAAATAAAAATAAAAAAAAAAGAAATTGTGGTTTATATACACAATGGAATACTACGTGGCAATGAGAAAGAATGAAATATGGCGCTTTGTAGCAACGTGGATGGAACTGGAGAGTGTTATGCTAAGTGAAATAAGCCATACAGAGATAGACAGATACCATATGTTTTCACTCTTATGTGGATTCTGAGAAACTTAACAGAAACCCATGGGGAAGGGGAAGGAAAAAAAAAAGAGGCTAGAGTGGGAGAGAGCCAAAGCATAAGAGACTCTTAAAAACTGAGAACAAACTGAGGTTGATGGGGGAGGGAGGGAGGGGAGGGTTGGTGATGGGTATAGAGGAGGGCACCTTTTGGGATGAGCACTGGGTGTTGTATGGAAACTAATTTGACAATAAATTTCATACATTGAAAAAATAAAATAAAATAAAATAAAATAAAAATAAATTTAAAAAATCCATTAAAAATCTGTACATTTTTTAAATATTTTAAATATTTTATTTATTTATGTATTTATTTATTTACTTATTTACGTATTTATTTTCAGAGAGAGAATATGCACTTGTACATGAGTCGGGGAGGGGCAGAGAAACAGGAGAGGGAGAATCCTAAGCAGGCTCCATGCTGTCAGCACAGAGACCAACTCGGGGCTCCATCTCACAAACCGTGAGATCATTACCTAAGCAGATATCACGAGTCTGATGTTTAACTGACTAAGCCACTCAGCCACTCCTCTGTTCATTTTTTTCTAAAATTATTTATTTAGGGGTGCCTGGATGGCTCAGTTGGTTGAGCATCCAACTCTTGATTTGGGCTCAGGTCATGATCCCAGGGTCATGGGATTGGGCCCACTAAGCATGGAGCCTGCTTAAGATTCTCTCTCTATCTCCCTCTACCTTTCCCCTGCTCTCTCTCCCTCTTTTCAAAACTAATTAATTAATTAATTAATTAACTTCTTTTAACATATATGTATGGAGGCTGCTGGGTGGCTCAGTTGGTGGCACTTCCAATAGCCAAATTATGGAAAAAGCCTAAATGTCCATCAACTGATGAATGGATAAAGATGTGGTTTATATATACAGTGGAATACTACTTGGCAAGAGAAAGAATGAAATCCTGCCATTTGCAGCAACGGGGATGGAACTGGAGGGTATTATGCTAAGTGAAATAAGTCAGTCAGAGAAAGACAGATACCATATGTTTTCACTCATATGTGGATCTTGAGAAACTTAACAGAAGATCATGGGGGTGGAGAAGGGGGGAAAATGTTACAAACATAGAGGGAGGGAGGCAAACCACAAGAGACTCTTAAATACAGAGAACAAACTGAGGGTTAATGGGAGGCAGGGGAGGGGAAAGTGGGTGATGGGCATTGAGGAGGGATGAGCACTGGGTGTTGTATAGAAACCAATTTGAGAGTCTGGGAGGGAGGGAAGATGGCGGCGTAGGAGGACGCTGGGCTCACCGCGCGTCC